CCTCAAACTTGGGTAATTAAACCATAGCAATAATAAAAACGTAATATTAAAACATGAAACAAAGAGCGCAAGAAATGAACCAAACGTATAAACCCAAAAGAAGAAGTTGAACGAATGAATGAATGGATGAGGATTTGATGATTTGTCTTATATAGGCAAAGTATACGTGCGTCTTATAACGTGGGAAAATAAGGAGAGAGGATATAAGAGCAAGGGAGATCATGTAGTACAATAATTGGAGGCAAGGATAGAATTGATATACAGTATAAGATGGATCATTTGACTGTGCTATTTGGTTTAAATTTAAACAGGAACATTATCATTGACGCGTATTAACAATGTATTAAGACAGAGTAATATTATTATATCTATGAATATATGTATATATATATATATCCATAAAACATTTGACCATTTATAATATTCTTGAAATTTCGCGACTTTTGCGATAAATGATGCTTTTTTGATGAAATGGAATCTAATAATGCAAAATGTCAGGATTATTTAGGCTTCAGTATGTCACATGCTTTACCGGTAACTGCAAGCCGAGTATAAATTTTAAGCAATAGCCAATAGCATTTTTTTTCAGAGATTGACTAACGCTTTTTTATTTTTCGAAAATCAAGTGACAATATCTATTGGATGGAATGAGATGAGAAGCTGTCAAAGAATAAATTGAAAATTTCGAAAATTTTCATCATCAATGCTTGCAATATTTTTAAAAAAATGGATTTTATCATAAGATATTCTAGAAAAAGTTAGAAAATTAAGAAATTAATTGGTTTGTTAATATTTATTGGATGAAAAATTTTCTGAGAAAAAGTTAAATTTTCAAAAAGCATAATTTCAACTTAAATTATAAAAAATACAAAATAATGTGAAAATTTCTTCATGTACAGCAAATTATAATTTGATCATATAATACTGCTTTATTTGCTTTATTCACACCAAATTAAAAAGTAACATCAATTTACAACTATCACAAAAACTTTTATAAATGAGGATAACGTATTAATAAAATTAATAATTATACTTTAATCATAGTACAATAATAATTTATGCTTTCTTCATTAGATCAATAACGAATTAAATTGCCCAAGACTAAAGTGATTGAATTTCAAGCGATAAAATCAAGACATATACTGATAACAGTAGGAATATTTGGTGATAATTTATAATAAAAGATGAAAAATTATAAGAAATAAAAAATGAGAGAAAGGAAGTGAGTGAAAAATTTATAATAACAATATTAGAAAATAGACAAAATTTCAGATAAATTCTTTAAACCAAAAATAAAAATTTTAATTTAAACTAACTACAAAAAAAACATAATTCGAGTTGATCGATAATCAAATACCGTCTATCTATTTATATTTTACAACTCTTTGCATATACTTAAATCCATCAAAATAATCTATAAATTAATAAAAGTAATTGAATGACCAAAGTAAGGTATCGATTCTATTATGAAACGTATTCTATCTATCATTAAATATTTTCACTTTTTAACTTATTCCATTGCACCTTTCTATCGAACACGTTTCTATGGTAATATATTGAGGAAATATTTATGCATGTGCATATTTCTGTGATTAATGAATGTATGCTTGTTCATGTTCTTTTTGATAATTATTCTGATAAGACTCACCTGAATTTTGTCACTGTCAATAGAAATGCATTTAATTACAATTATTTAATCCAATATTATTTTGCTTAAACTTATTGAACTAAGCACAGTTATTTTCAATAAAAAAGAAAAAGCAATTTCAATAATGTAGATTGGATAGGAAAAGTTGGTAATAGGTTTGCCATACCTGTCATTTTATGATTAAGCCTGACATTGATTTTTTATTTACTATTACAGATTTACATTTTATTCAATTCTCTTCGAGCTTTATCGAAGAGAATTGAATAAAATGTAAATCGACAAAATAACTAATTGTGATTTGTTCGCTATTTCGAAATTCTATACTGAATTCTGAGAAATCATTAATTAATCATTAATATATTCCATATGATAGGATGATTTAAAAAAAAAGTGGATTACAAATTGAAGAATGTTCGAGCAGTTAAATTATCATAAACAACCAGTAATGTTATAATTCATTTATCACGGATAATCCTAAAGTACTTTTCAAAAATAATCTTCAAAAAAGTAGCATTATGTCGTAGTGAAATAAGAGAATGTAATTGATAAGTGATAACAAATTGAAAGAGAATGAAGATAGAGAATGGGAAATAATGATTAACAGAAGCAATAATGGAACGATTCATTGCAATGGATCGACCAAATTGGGTAGCCAAGGCAACTACACATTCCATGTCATTTCATTGTGCTACGTCATAGTTCAAATGAACAAATAAGGCATGTATGGACCAGAAGTTTGCTATCAATGAAATACTCGTTGCGTTGCTGTTTCTGATAGGTTTTCCTCGATGTTGAACCAATTTCTTGGCGGACATGGACAATAAATACCATCAGATCCAGGAATTCCAGGCATTCCAATCTGGAAAATAGTGATAATATGAGTGATGTATTAGTACGATTACTTTCATAATATACTTATATAATATGTAACATTAATATAGTTCGTTATTACTTCTCCATCGGGACCTTTTGGTCCTGGAAGACCTGGTAATCCTGCGCGACCTGATATGCCAACTGGCCCTACTTCACCATTTACTGTTATGCCTGGTTCACCGGGAGATCCAATCGGTCCTCGTGGACCAGTTGGCCCAGGTAGACCCGGTTTTCCAAGTATCGCTTGTATTCCTGGTAGTCCAGCTTCACCATCCACACCTGGTGGTCCTATTGGTCCTGTAAAGATAAATGATATCAATTTTGAAGTTAAAAAATACAAAAATGTTTCCAAAAAAACACAAGATCTTGAACAAAAACTACCCAATTTTTCATGTTTAATGAAGATAAAAACCTTGTATTCCAGGATCACCGGGAAGACCGGGGGGACCGATCGCTCCAATACCCATTCGTTCTCCATTTATTCCATCCAATCCTTTTGGTCCCCGTTCACCGGGTGCTCCCATAGGACCTGGCACACCTGGTGGACCAGGTGGACATTTAATGCATTCTCCATCCTTATATTTTGTTAGAAATCCAGGAATTCCATCTAATCCAGGAATTCCAGGCACACCATCCTCTGCAAAAAAAGTTTTATTCCGATTGATACATAAGTTATAAAACTTTGGCCAGCATAAATGAAAAATAACCTCCATCTTCACCATCATATCCTGGTGGACCTGGTGGACCCGGTGGACATCTCGTCATACTTGCACTTGCACATTCTACAAACGCATACTAAATGATTTGAATAGAATAAGATATCAACAAGTTTTGGCAATATCAGAATACAAGGCTTAATTGGTTCTCGCAATCTATTTTGTAGGAACTGCTGAGATTACAAGAAAAATAAAATTGTGTGATGCTAATGTTAATGATCAAATAAAATCAATACTAAATATAATTATTCCAAATTTAACTGTTCCAGACAATTCAATTTTCAGTTTTAATTTATATATTTTTTGAATATAATTTACAAATAAAACATACTGCAGCAAACTGATTGTTTATCAAATGTTTGTTTTCGATGACGGAAAAGACTGCCATCATTATTAGTGCTTCGATCAACTGTTGATAATTTAGACTTTGAATTTGTTAGCACTAAATTTATCGATGTATCCTTTGTTAGTTCCTGCAAAATAGATTAAATTTACTTCAAGCAGTATTTCTGTTACATGACTTAATTTATTTTTAAAGTTATTAGCAAATTTCGTTTTTTTACGTGACTACATTGATTGTTTATTCGTTTGAAACATTATAAAATTTTACTCATGACTTTCTGATGATAGCATTATTTCAAATCTTGTCTTAATTTTCGTCCGTTAGTTTTAAAATTTAAAACGCTGGAAAAGATAGGAAATCATATATGCACTCTTTCCAAATATTAATTCTTTATTTTATATATTATCTTTGAAAATTTCTGGAATGACAATTACCTTGAATTTTCCCATTTCGTCTAGAATATCAATAAACATATCGTTAATGTCATCATAAATAATTTTAACAAAAATTCCACATGCAAATAAAAGACCGATGCATACAATTGTATTGCAAATTATAACAATCAGGATTTTTTTGTCATTCATTAATGACTTATTTCACTAATTTGATGCTACAAATTGAGTGTTTATGAAAAATCAAAGTTTAGAATGAAATTTTTAAAAAGTTGCAACAAAATATAAATTTACAATGAGTTTCGTTGTTGCAATTTTACTGAAATCATCTCAAGAGCTATATGAATTGAATGCAATTATCAGAAAGTAATAAATTACAATTTATTCAGTTATTCTGCATACGGCTCATTCCTATTCTATCCAAAAAACGCCGAACATTATCCTAAAATCTTTTAAACCATCAACTATTTCTGATCAATCTACTAATTGCTATAAATTAAATCTCGCACCTTAAATAACTGAAATTTAATAATTTTTAATTTGTCACAAATATTTCTAAGATAGCTTGATAAACATTTTTAATTGTCGCAGTGTTTTTTATAAAAATTAAAATATTCGATTTTTTGATAGTGTCTTTGAATTACTCATCTGAACAGCTGAAAAAAAAACTTTGAAGATGAAAATTTTGAAAATAAAGAGAAATAATTATAAGAAGAAGGAATTGAGAAAAATGAACTGTTGATGAAATGGCATCCATTCGTATTTAAGAAGAAGAACGAACTGATTGAATGCTAAATGACTGCGTGCAAGAATTCATTTAACAATAAAAACAGAACAAAGGATTTGTTGAAAAATAAACTAAAATACTATATACAAAAAAAAACATCGAATTTTAAACGCTTTAATTCATTTCTCTGTTCATTTTTTTATGGATTTATGTCTTTGTAAATGATATATTTGTTAATTTTACAATTTATTAAGGCCCAGCCAATATTTTTAAATTTTTTATTTTAACATTAAGTTAATTGTTGGAGAAAAATTTTGGTATTAATTTCTTAATTCTTATTTTACAGCAATAGTTAGAATTAGAAATATTTCATGAACTTTTCGCTTAATGCGAATAATTTTTCCAAATTAAAAAATGGAATTACTTTTTTTATAGGCACACTAGATAGAATCATTATCATATGATCGGTAAGAGATGGTTGAGCGTAGGATGAAATAAAATAAAGGTAAGTTAAGGCGGTGAACAAAATGATAAACATTATGAGCAAAAGTTTAACAAGTCTAGTGTATAATTCATTGTTCAACACGAAAGTCTCTGGATGATTTTGGAATGTGTATGTGACATGTCCGTTAGAATCACTAATTACATGAATCATTTAATTGTTTAAAAAACACAATTGCTATTTTGGTATTTGTTGCTCTTAGTCTTTAAAAATTTTAATGTTGAAGCATTTTTGAGCTTATGAGTCATAAGCATTTATTTATTTATTTTTCGGTTGATAAATATATTTAATTGACTTTGTGTTAATTAAATTAATTTCATTATAATTGCAAACGATTTGATATTGAGTAAAAGTTATTTTTGAGTAGTTTTAATTCCTTTCATTCTATAGATTGTTTAAATAGCAATTGAAATGAGTTAAATTTGAAAAGAGTTTATATAAAGCCGAATTAGGTATAAAACTTCTATTGCATCTAAAATTTGTGCAACACTGACTATCCGATAATTTTAGTGATTTTTGCAAAAAAATATTTTTTTCATCTTGCTTTATAGAGAAGGAGAAATTTTCGGATCTTGATATTATCACCAAAATTCTTAAAAATACTTTTTCAATTAATTTTATCAATTTCATAAAATTGCTTATAAACCAGTTTTGTTTTTTCCGTAGCATAACTGTTTTTCATTTTTGACTACGAACAAGATTCGTCGCAGCGCACTAAATTCTAGTTTTTACAGAGAGAATTATCATGCTAGTCCGGTTAGAATTTTTAAAATATATTAAAAATTAGTTCTTTCATTTCAAAATTTTATTCAAAATATAAAATTTGTTATACCATTTAAAAATTATAAAAAAGTTACTGAATGCACTAAATTTTTCCTTTAAGAATCAATTTCATAAATGCAAAATTTGAAACTTTTTAATCTTAATTATAAAAAGTAATTTTTTCCTAGAAATCAAAGTTTGCCACATTTTTTTCGACGAAAACACTTCTTAAATTCCTTTTGTAGCGTACAAACTTTGTTATTTTTCTTCCATTCTCTGCGTCACTAATTTTTGCTCTTAGCTGTTCTTAAATTTTCACTTAATTTATCAATTCATTTTTGAAATGATTTAAATTGAATTCTGGCTATAGGATGTTTTGAAAAAATAAAATTTGAATTGAAATTAGAAACTGTAGCATTCCCGTTACCTTATAGTAACTTAAAAGATGATCAATCAGTCACTGTCTAAGGCATTTCGTCTGCACTAATTTCATAGCTTTCTCTTTCGAGATTAGAAGTTTACATATCAAAAATTTTATTCCAGTTTAGACTGAAATGTTAAGTGAAAAAGACACGAGAAGGTTAAAAGCCACACAATTATTCCAATTATTTGAAATTTTTCCTTTTCGAAAATTTAAAAAGAAATGAAAAAAATTCAAAAATTTGTAGGCAGTCTAGAAATTTTGAAAAATATAAAAAAGTTTACAGAGTAATGCAATTAAGTAATTACCTGTACCTACTTCTCTATCAATTTACATTCTTTCGCTATTTACAAAATTCATTCAATTTGTAAATTTCGTTTTACATGAATGTACAAAATTTTTGCTTTTTCAGCAACATTTATTTCTCCAAAATTTCATCCTTCTATCAATAAATTTAATTCTTTTTATCCATCCGATACATCGTCATTTCAATTGCATAACATTTATTTAAGGCCGCTGGAAAGCACTTTTCAAATAAAACACTAAGTGGAGTTATTACAGTAAAAAAAATCGAATGCTCAAATATCAGTTTGGTAAAATTACTCAAAATTTAATAACTGAAATTGCAAAGTGGAAAGAAATTAATTCAGAATGTTTAATTTCCCCAATGTATCATTTTAACTAAACCAGTTTATTTTTGAAACATCAGTAATTTGAATTTGTCTCACTAATGACTTCCACTATTTTTTATTTCTTTTCACTTCCTCAATTCAATTTTATTTTATACCATTTGAAGTCTTTTTTCAATTTCTTGAAGATTTAATTACAACTATTCCAATGTTTATAGTTGTTAGCATGGCCAAGTAAATGGCACCATGTATTATAATCAGTTATCTCGCGAATGGTCGATGAAACGAAATTTTTTGATTAATGAAATATTGCAATCATTGAAATCGAATTTATAGAAACAAATTTGCATATGTTGTAACTTTTTTCATCAACAAAATTCTCGAAAAAAATTAAACGCTTTAGTATTTTTAAGAATTTTTTATTGTTTTTGAGTTTTTCAGTCTTGTTGTTATTGAATTTTTTGGACAATTTTTTCGAGACAGGAACAATACCAATAACCGATGAATGGTTTAAATGAAGTAAAGTCAAATTTTAGGAAATTTTTTTGGGATAAACATTTATCAAATCTTCTGAAAACCATACACGCATATCAATTTTTGAAACTCCTCTTAACTATTTGTTTGAGGTAAGATAACAAAATTCTATAAAAGCTAAAAGGCATAGGTTAAAGGTTGACATCATTAATTTGTTTCATTGGCAGTCAATATAGCGGCAATTGCTCTTTTACAGAGAAATTTTGGTGATATCTATATGAATAAATTCTATAGCAGTAACTTTTAAAAAATGAAAAAATGACCTTTTAAATGATTGTCCCAGTGACCAGAAAATGTGAACTTGAATAAGATAAATTGTACAATTAAAATTTTTTACGAATTAAAATTTAGAATGCAAACTCCTCTAAATTGTTCTATTTTTTTCGATTTAAATTTTTATTCACTGTTCAAATTTCATCCATTATGCGATCAATATTTCATTCCTTTTAGAAACAATATATATTATTGAAAAAAATTCCTTATTTGGAGTTATTTCCATAATCAAAAATATAAACCATATGTATTCCTATTTTTTACTAAACTGCATATAGTAGTAATTAATTTACTAATTATTAAAACATTTAGTAGCTAAAATATCTTAAAATCCTTTTTGAAGCAATAAAATATTATAAAATTTTGTTATAAATTACTCTTATCACTGAATTCATAACTTTTCGATCAAGTTTTTCTCATCTCTTACTGTTCAATTTTTAAAGTTAAAAAAAGTCAAATTTGTTAATATGCTGAACATAAAATGAAGGCAGGTTCAATTCTTTCTAATCGAGAATTGGAGAAAAGAAAAAAGAAGATTAAGAATGAAGAGGAAGATGGTAAGACAAAAGGGATGTGAAACAAATCTCAAATTTACTCTTTCAAAATACCGGCATCTAAATTAACTCCTTCCTAAGCTTACGTCATTAATTTATCATCTCATTATAAATTACAATTCATATCCGTTTGAAAAACCTGACTAAAATCACTATCACTTGTAATCTTCCATTCTATCATATTTTACAATTTAAACAATGTATTTTAGGTAAACTTTTGTAAACCACAATGTATTCCTTCGATAACGAATATCCGATTCTTTTGCAATTATTTGATATTGATATTTTCCGTGCGATTTAGTTCCTTCTCCACTTCTAATTATTGTTCTTTGTTTCTTTCCTCCATTCTTTATTTTCTGTTCTTTAATATTTGCTCTGTGCAGAAATCAGATCTTTCATAAGACGTAATAAACACCTATAGAATATTTAATTAATAAACATAATTATTAGATCATCTAATGATTTCCTTCCGTAGTGTAGTATCATTTTGAAGATGACTAGCATTGATGTGATTGTGTTTAAAAACCGCAACATATGTTTGACATGTTTTTTCATTACCTATTGATTATTACTATCCTTAGTAAATATGTCGTGTATTTGTTAAGAATTTTTAGCAACAAATTACATTTTTGATTTGCAAAACATTCAAAAATTTGAAAACCGACTACATGTTGTAAAGAATTTTTTTTTAATAGATGAATTATCATTTTAAAGAATTCAAAATTACATTATCAGAAAAGAATGAGTGCTACATTTAAAATAATTAAATAGTCTATTCAGAAGTCTAAAGGAAAGCAAAATATTGAAAGTATGATATTTGAATCTGAGGATTTATAAGACATCCTTACATGTAATAAAGTACTTTTTCATCTTTACTATTTCAGAAAAATTTTTTCTGCCTTTGCTTTGAAGTTCCAAAATTTTGAGAGAAGATCAATCAAAAAACAAATGCTTTTTTTGTAGATAATTTTGGACATTTCAAATTGATAAGTTAATGACATGAATTTCAAAATACTGAAAAGCTAAAAAGATATTTCAGGTTATGGCAGAGATAATTGATAATAATTTGATAATAATATCGATTGGTGAAAGGGTATGAGTAATATGCAGTACAATTCGTCAGATAAAACATCTTATAATTTTTATGAAACAAGTTCTCCTCATTATAATATATCAAATAGTTGTTTTCTAAACCATTCTTCAAATACATAAATGAAACTATGTTTTATATATTACTATCCGTGATTCTACTTTTTCATTATAAAAAAACCTTAATTTCTTTAAAAATTCAGAAAAAAGTTGATTTTATAACAAATGCATAAATTATCAGTTGTAAAAGATTCAATTAGTTCAAATAATGCAACCGTCAAGCATACCATTTTAAACTTTTTCAATTTCATACAAAAAAAATACGAATTGAACAGTACATCAGATAATTTATTTTTTTTTATTTCATAATTTTGGAATTGTGGTAGGATTTTTTGTTCAATGAAAAATTATTTAAGTTCTGAAAGCGGAATGATACGCCCTTTAAAAATATTTTTTCATCTCTCATCATTTTTTTTTTAGAAAGAAAGAAAGTTCTTTAAGTTCTTTTTCCAATACAGTTTACTATTAAAAAATGTTTGTGCACATGAGCGCAAATGATTAATTGATAGCAACAGTGAGACGACGATAGTTGCTGTTTAGAACTTAATGATCATGACCGATTAAATATTTATTTCAATAATTTTTACATATTTATGGCTATAAAATACAGTAAAATTTCCACTAGCAAAAATTTATCCATTAAATTTTAAAAATTCTTCGATAATTATAAAATATATATCCTTATATTAGATACAAGACAATTCCACACAAAAACGATAATTTAATTTTATTTTTTTTCTCCCAAATAGGAAGTTTTCCTAGTGGGAATTGCAAAATAAATTGAATCACCATTTGGCATCCAGAATGTTCGAAGGATTTAATGATACGATCAGCCAAATGAAAATATGACATCCATTAAATTATTTCGTTGTTTCGTCAATGCGGTTTACAATCAAACATTCTATTAAATGATGAAAATTTTCTGTGTTCATTGGCAATACATTGTACAAAAAGCAAAAAAAAAAAGATACACACACACACACACACACACACACAATTATGTAAGTTTTCAAAGAATCCATTCTTTTCATTTTTTTGATGACCGCGGTTTGCCATCAATGTGTCATAGAACCTACGAATAAAAATTTCGTTCTGCGTCATTATTCCACTTCCTTCCTCTCCTCTTTTCACTTTTGCAGTATCAGTAATTGAAGTTTCCGCGAATCATTATTTTATTCATGCAAACTAAATACATTTATGAATTTAAAATATCTAAGGAAATTTAAAATATCTTCGATTAAAAATATTCATTTGTGTAATGAAGAAAATGATTTACGGTAAGTAGTAGTAGATTAATCATTGCTAGAATAAGCTTCATTCATGACAAGCATCCATATATGATTATAATCGATATGCAATCATGTTATTAATAGATGATGAGATCTGAGAAATATTCTAACAATTCTGATTGATAAGACGGAAAGATCAACAAGATATGATAAGTACCTGAGCAGTTTTCTATCTCATTTTTGCATTCTCAATGCAGAAATTAAAAATATATGCTAATAACTGTAACAAATCATTAATGAATTGTTGAAATGTAAACAAATTATTAAATAGCACATATGAAAGAGGATTGAAGAAAATTATATAAGTATATAAAACTTTGAAAAAAAAGTACAACTGAAATGCAGAAGAAATAGACTAATGGATCGGATCGAAGGACATACTACACACTGTCAAAAATACGATTCAAAAATAATTTAATTCAATGACAGAACATTCATTCAAGTACAGTTCAATATTGGATATGCAATAAAAGAACGGATTGAATTAAATGGAGAACACAAATGAAAATTCATGCAACGATCTACTTTCAAAGGAATTTCTAAACAATTGAATGTCAAGTTTGAATCAATTGAATTCTCGAGCAGTTATATTTACATTTCTTTTCTTATCAAAAGTAAAATAATTTATAACAGCCAAATAGATGAACTACTATTCAATTTATAATAATCAAATAAGAGAGACTTTGATCATTCAACCAGACGAGTCTCTCCTAATCATTCATTTAATTTCAGTTCAGCTAAGCTAGAAATGAATCTCTATCATGAATGTATTAGAGGAATTGATTTGAAAATTTTGATATGTTCATTTGATGTCATTCGCGTGCTTCATTTGTGATGAATTCACTTCAGTTGAATTCAAGTGATTAATGAATAATGTATGAGTAATTAATTCTATTTTTGAATTCTGCTTATTTCCATTTCCTACTTTTACCGCTGCACGAGAAAATTCAAATTTTACGTTTGAACCGAAATAAATCTGATTTCTTGTTGCAACTATAAATGCATAATTATCAGCAATTCATTCTTCCAATAAAATGCTTCTATCAGGAAGACTAATTACCGTTAATAGCAACAATTTTAACAATGATAGGACTTCAATTTGAGTGACGGGTGGAAAAGGGTGCGTTTATATACGTATGTACAAATATGCCACCTGAGTGTATGTGTGTGTATGTGTGTGGTCTGTTGTGTGTGTGTGTGTGTGTGTGTGTGTGTGTGTGTGTGTGTGTGTGTATGTATGTATTTGTGCAAAGAAAACACCCAGTTGAGATGTCTTTGCTGCAGAAAATTTTTGTAGTAAGTGATAGGGAACGTCTGGTGAGTAGATGATGATGACAGTTGGAAACCGGTGTCGCGATTGGTGTGTGTGTGTGTGTGTGTAGAATATGCCTGCAGGGGATTACAGCGTATCCTTTGCGATTCGCGGTATTCACCTCACCTGCACTATCTCGTATTTCTCATCATCTTTCTTATGATCTTTGCAATTGTCATTGAACAACCAGTCGGTGGATTGCGAAGAATGCAAAGAAGCAAGAAGTACTGATCAAATCAGGGCGTGCTCGTTGAGAAACGAGTTCCAGAAGTACAGTAGGGCTCACCATATATAAGAGAATAGGAGGACCACAACAGCAAATACTATCGAAGTCTGCAACTCCTACTACCAGAAGAGAAAAGAAGAGAGAAGGATACAACAACAATAACCATTTCGGGTATGGATTTGGAAAGTCGCATCAAGGCATATCGCTTCGTAGCATATTCAGCGGTCACGTTTTCCGTCGTTGCCGTACTATCTGTTTGTGTAACCTTACCTATGGTTTACAATTATGTCCATCACGTACGCCGGCAAATGCACAACGAAATAACGTTTTGCAGGGTAAATGCTTTTCTTTTGTTCCCATTTAATTTAAAAAATGATGTTTTATGATTGTCAACATGATAGCTGCATGATAAAATTAAACTTTTTAAAGAATTCTTCATTTCTTCTTTCATGTATTCTCTTCATCTGCCCATTTCTGGGCTTTTAATGTTTTATTTAAACATGCTCATTAAAAATATTTAATAATTCAATAATAGAGAACAAAAAAATTAGCGAAAGGAAGTTGCTATCGCTTATATTAGTTGATGATTTTTTAAAAAAAAATTAATAAGGTATTTTTTTTTTATTAGAAGCTGTGAAAAATCATTTTCTTGATAAAATCATACAGAAAGACTCTCTAATAAATGGATATTTACTTTGCGCCACAAATAGATTAAATGATATGATATGGTCTAAATTCTGACATATTACTAATCATTTCTGAAAAAGTTACTATATCGGTATAAAAATGCACCATTATTGGAAAATACAATTGTCCATACATACTACAACGACTGGTTAGATATTTTGTTCCATTTTTCGAGTTACAGGAAAAAAATGGCACAATTCATGTAAAATATATCTCTTAGAATAAGTTTTGCATGAGTTGAATCCAGTTTCTTTTCTCATATTTTCCCTTTTTCGGAAACTATCATCATTCGTCATTTCGTCCGCTGAAATGATCAGCTTTGTAACTTGTTCGTGAAATGGAAAATGTATGAGATCAAGTATCTTTTTGCTCCACACCCTTTTTTTTTTGTAATGTATGCATTTTTCTTTTTGTGTCTGTACTCACAAAAATAGCTTCACTTTTTCGACCTTGAATGACAGGAAGGAACTTTCGGGAGAGATGTGTCAGTGTCACGTTTAAATTGGACAATTTTTACAACATGAAAAAAAAAACAGATTTTAGAATTAAAATGCTTTTTCTCAATGAGCAAATAAAAGCTAAATTCTCGTCCATTCAAATTCAATGAAAAAATTTTCAGGGATCAGCAAAAGATATCTGGGCAGAAGTACATGAGCTAAAGAATATTCCTTTTGCAAAGAATCGTACAGCTCGTCAAGCTGGTTACGGAGGAGGTGGTGATGCCGGTGTTAGCGGTGGTCAAGCAGCGCAAGGAGGAGGAGGGGGAGCGGGAGGAGGAGGAGGGGGAGGAGGTTGTGATGCGTGTTGCTTACCAGGAGCAGCCGGACCACCGGGTCCACCAGGCAAACCCGGTAAACCAGGTAAACCTGGAGCTCCTGGTTTACCAGGCAGTCCTGGTAAACCACCAAGTCAACCTTGTGAACCAGTCACACCACCACCATGCAGTCCCTGCCCACCAGGACCACCTGGACCACCTGGACCTCCTGGACCACCTGGAGATGCTGGTGAACCAGGGGCACCAGGTCGACCTGGAGTAGATGCACCACCAGGTGAACCTGGACCGAAAGGACCGCCAGGACCAGTTGGAGAACCTGGACCACCGGGACCACCAGGAGATCCTGGAGCACCTGCGCCAAGTGAACCTCTCGTTCCCGGAGAACCCGGACCACCCGGTTAGCGTTTTTTTTACTTTCGCATGCTACTAGAGAATAGTATAAAAACGCATTTTAGCAAAATATTTGTAATCTGCGTATCACAGAGAATTAAAACGAGTGTTTGTTTTAAGAAAATAATTTCAATAAATGACACTTTAGGAGAACCAGGACCACAAGGGCCACCTGGACCACCAGGCCGGCCAGGCAGCAATGGTGCACCAGGTCCAGCTGGTCCGAAAGGACCACCTGGACCCGATGGTCAACCAGGAGCAGACGGTGCACCGGGACAACCGGGACCGCCAGGACCACCAGGAACCCAGGGTGAAAAAGGAATCTGTCCGAAGTATTGTGCCATTGATGGCGGTGTATTTTTCGAAGACGGTACTCGTCGTTAATTAAATTGTTAGAATGTATCATTCGAAGTCTCATCCTTCATCAGACTGCCATTTCACCAATTTACCATTTAGCTATATCGACAGCAACCAAATAAATTTTTCAAGTTATGTTCGTTTCACGTTTGCAGTATATGCGGTTAGGATAAGAAGTCATATTAATTGGCGCTGTGAATGAATTAATGATTAATGAATTGCCTAGTTAGGCGATATGCTCGGAGAGGGTTATTGGTGGAATGCTTTAATTATATAAATCGATAGAACCAGTTTATCATTTCGAAACTACTTTAAAATTGAAAAATAACACCGAAATGAGCACGCTTCAATTCCTTCCATAATTTAAGCTATGAAACATAAAATCATCATATATATATATATCGTTTGACAATTTTTTGTGATAACTATAAATCAGTGTGAATTTGAAACCATAAAAATCACTGAAAATATCAACATGCAAAACTCTACTCGAGTGCATGTTATAATGTCGATTCATCAATAAATTTTGCAACAAAATTAATGCAATAATAAAAGTTGTGGAAAAAGAAAGTGACGAGTACTTCACATACGCTTTGTGTCCTAAGTGCTTTTTATTTCTGATTATTCAATAATGATAATCCTAACAATCAAACTCATTCGAGTATTCCTTTTAATGAAAGGATGTACTTCCGGTTGAACTAAAATTATTCTCATGTTTTTCAGATAATTTAATTATGCACTGGCCTTGCCTCATCTTAATAAGTACGATTGCAAAAACAATTTCCACCTAATCCTTTAAACCACGGCTCACAAGATAATCTCGATGACATAATCATGGAATTATTTGTAAAGGTGAAGAAGCAAACAATTGTAATATGAGGGAAGCGGATATAATTCATGCAAACCTGGCCGTCAAATTAAGACAAAATTAACGCTGCCATGAGAATTTGCTAAAGCGAAACGTCGAAGTAATATGGGAGACATACCAAATCTAAACAAATTTTTGGGATTCCCTGTGAATGTAAAGAATTGATGAAGCACAGTTTTCGCAATCAACGAAGGGAACAAAATTTTTTTTCTTTTATCTGCGTGAGATTATCAGTTAAACTAAAGCACCATCTTGTGAAAACACCATATCCTTCCGCAAAACAAAAATTGCAACCACACCCAAACGACACAGTTAAAAATTTTTTCCTCATGTCTATTTTAAACAAATCTTAGTCACCATGTTAATCAAACAAGAATACCATCCTCTTCATAAGCCCATGGCATAAATTATGATAGTAGCAATGAAACCACCTTATTCTGATGATCCTAAAACACTGTTCTTGGCACACAACATTTTTGCATTAGATTAAATCCTGCTAACATCATTATGCAATACATAATAAATGACCATATAATAGGGGTGAGAATTGCATATGTCCACCCAAAATCATGAAACAATTCTTGTAAAACCGACCAGTTCGTTATTTCAGATCAGATTTTCAAGGATGAAAGTCATAATCGTTGATAATTAATATGGTGTGTTCAGGCCAACAGACACTGCAACTCACACGAAACAAAATATTAAATGATAAAATATGATTAAATAATGAAATATATAGGAAAATAGCTTTAGAATAAAGGACAAGATATGTAAAGATAGACCATCAATATTTTGTAAATTAAAATAATCACAATTTCCCAAATGAAAATTATAAAAAATGAAAATAAAAAAGGCTTGCACGACGGAAACAAAGAGAGCAATAATTTAGATGATCACTAGAAACAACATTTGAAAAGAAAGTACTTTTGAGCAGTTATAGACGAAAATGAATTAAAAAGAACGTTGGGCAAGCAAACGAAAATTTAAGTTTTCCTTTTATGCTAACAGTAATCCATATACAACCAATTCCTGGATTATTACACAATAAGCGGACAGCATCATCGAAGCCATAAAAATCTATCTTCACTCCAACTAACCAAGGATAGACGAGATATCAATCTACTACCATCAACCACATGTGCAAATTATCTTTTTAGAAGCCAACGGTGATCACTTCCTTTCAATGGATATAACCCGGTAACAGAGAGTTCTTACGCGAACAAACCGATGAAGCCTTCTTACGCGTGGAATCCTCTCGTTAGCAGTAAATTTTGAGCGACAATTCTACTTTATCATAAAAACTTCACTTCAAAAAGGATATTTCTGATTTAATTTAGTAATAACGTCAGCGTTAAACAGAAGTAGAAATAACGAACACCCTTATGGCCTAGAAATGATGAGCAAAATTAGAAAAGGAATAGATAGCATGAAAAAATTTTACTGACCGCATAGAGCTTTCTTTTCTGAATGCTCTGCCAGTCGCTATAGATGCAAAAAAAAATGAATTTTTTAATGCCTCGGAACGAAGCTAGGCATTATTAATCGAAGTAAATGATATAATTCACAGTAACTATGTTCAATTATAACTGCAAGACACATTTCTTGATTACAAAAAACCGGGTGCAATCTTACAGAATGCAAAATAATACAAATAATGAATAAAAACGATTCCTTCAGACAATGGATGAAATAATGAAATGATTTATGTAAAACTGTGAATGGGATCATTGGGGCCTGGAATCTGGCTCAGAACGCGATCCAACTTTTGTAAAGGTATGGCTAAATGAATTTCTACCCAGCAGGGCGTTGATGTTATCGTCTGCCGCTTATATTGCTCACCCCATCCTTTCACAAAACTTATTCGCATATGGCACATTCTCTGGAAAAAGGAAAAAAAAAACAATGTGTGATGTAATGTTTTGCAAATACCATCTCGTCCACCACTGATAAAAGAACCAACTGACTGCAAATTTCTTTTTCATATTATATTATCTTCTATTTCAAAATGGTTTTGACATCAGCAATCTGTTTTGTTCCCACGGCTAACTACAAAACGAAGCAAACCTGTAAGGAATAGACGGCATGGAAACCTTGGCTCGTTGACTGAGCTAACAAAGTTTCAAATGATTCGTTATCAAAAACTTGCATAATATGTCCTGCAAATGATTATATTACGATCACGTATCTGAGCATTATGATCACGTGTCTTTGAGCAAGACAGCACTGCAGAAGAATTGACGACCAGTGAAATATTCGGTTATTAAAGGTATCATCATCTATCACCGATCAATCGAACCATCAATTTTTATTAAATAACATGAAAGTTCGATTCTTACCTGATGGCAGTCGATAAACGGTAGCCGGATGATCATGGGATTTCACAGCGTGTATGGGACTCTGAATGAACACTGGTGCTTCACTCAGACATTCTGCGTAAACGTCTTCATCTTGACGAAAAATCCTAACACCACGTCCTGAAACAGCAAATGATAGCTGTCGCTTTCGAATATAAAATTAACTAAAAATTAACTCCTTACATTTAAAAGTCAAAAATCAAAGTTAACCAAAAGAAAATGCTTACCAATTTGACGTCTAGCATTCACAACTCCAGGATTTCTATTAACGTTAGCTAAAGCTCCCAAACAGAATCTTTCTGCCTCGGATGGTGCGCAAAAACCATCAACAATAACATGAGAAGTACCACCTTTGAAGGGCTCACCGATCTAAATTCAACTTTTATGTTCGCTTTTTAAGGACTTAAAACTACATGAATGCGAAAATTGATAGCCTTAACCATCAAAGTTTCATTTCTAAATGAAAAACTTTCCGCTTAGGATGAGTAAAAGCAATATCAAAAAACGAACTCGTTGATTAAGTTCATAGTAATAAGCATGACACCATGCTTCCGGTACTGGTGCCGCCGGTGGATAATCTTTCACATTCACTGCAACATCCGATGGCTGCAATTGAATAATTCTGATTGATAGAAATAGAAATAATTCTTTAGAGGAGATGAATAAAGAACGCTTATAAACAACATATAGAAACAAAAGTTCATTTTTACTTTGGGTCGAATATGAGGTTGTATCCGTGGTCTCTGACTTCTCATGTACAGTATCTGAGTAAGTGAATTTTGACTGTCACCGGATGCCGAAGCATTATGAAGTTGTACTGAATAAGTTGAATCTAAACAGAAAACTTATGCGAATAAAGTCCATAAAGTACTTCGTATTTGATAATTTAGATGGTGGAAACCTCACTAAAAAGTAGATAACATTCAATTTTTTGAAGAGACATAATGTGAGCCCATGTACAGTCATTCATGTACATCATGTCTTAGTAGCAAAAGTGTATTATTCACATATGCACAGTATTGAATGACCGAAGATTTTAGTAACTTTAGCTCAAAAGTAAAATGCCAATCTAATATTTGAAAACAATACACCATACTTCCACTTATTGGTGTTATTTGTTGTGTGGCGTATGAGATGCAGTTTCCCTGCTCATTTGGCAAATGCGATACCGTTGACGTACTCGTTGAACGGTCTTGTATAACATCTATTTCTTGCTGCTGCAACTGATAAAGTACAAGAAAGATTATAAGTAACAAAGTTCACTGAACAGACAGCAAATATTTCGAAAATTTACATCTTGCATGAGTGTACTCAATTCTTGCAGTGTTTGACCAGAACACTCAGATGCAGTATTAGCAGTACAGTTCAGTAGCTGGTTGTTGGCATCAAAATAATAAACTGAATCCATCGTTCCAGGTTCAACTTTCGTCTGAATATCGGCAGTTGTTTCATCTGGAAGTGTCACTGCTATTTTCCAACACTTTACTGTATAAAAAATTCCTCGCTCTTCCATTAACGTTAAAAATTCTAAGAGAAAATTAATTTGAATTCTTATTTTGAATATAACTTACAAAACAGCATATGTTCACCTATTTGTTCCTGATAATCCATTGGAGTAGACGATGACTGCTGCTCCGAATCTCCTACTTCAACTGCAGTAAGCAGATGCCAAGCCTGTTGGGCTGGAATTGTCTTGTTCGGGTAGCAGTTGGATGAGGACGATGGTGTGCCACACATCTTTTCATGCAAATACGATTTTGTCTCGCTATTACCACGAGTCAGCAAATCCATTCGAATTCCAAGTTCTTAAATAATTGCCTGTTTATTCTTTTCTCAACATAATAAGAGAAAGATAAGCCCTTTTTTAAAGCAGAAATTTGATCGAAAAAGGAAGCGTGATTCATTAATTGAAAAAGGAAGTGTGTGACTCAATAATTGCGATCCATCATCAAAATCGTTGTCAGCCATAAGCGATTCTCCAAGATGCATCGAAAAATCACCATTATTTTGTCACTGATTTTAGGTAAGAGTTCGCTGTAGCGGACTCTACCTGTAATCCCTTCTAATTCTGTCATGAAAAATCAAGGATGTTTTTCATTTCAATATGCCTTTGAATTATGAGTTGGAAACTTTGAAAGCAGAGATTTGTGTTCCCTTCAGAAAAATACCTGCCTAAATCTTTCTTCTTTCCCTATTCCAACTTTGAAATCCTTGTAAATCAGAAGAAAATCCAAGAAATTCCGAGTGGACATGACGACAATGAAGAAGTCACGTTCGCACAATAGAGGAACACATAGATACAAAATATGTTCGACGAGTTTCAAAAGACTGTTTTTTTAAGGACGAAAAAGGGTTTTGGAGGCGTGAGAGCAATCATACATTTGCGGGGAACAATGTAAATGAGATGAGCGAAAAGCCACCAACTACTGTTATATGAGTCTATATGGTTGTGAGGAGAAAGTTGTGTGCACAAGGAAATGATGACGATGCCCGCAAACCATATTCACACATCCAGCATCCAAACTTACACAGCTAATTCTTTTCCCTTTTCTCTTTACCCCGCTTACGGAGATATACTCATCCCAAGTCCACAGAAATTTTATGAATTTTGATAAACAAACTAAAATATGAAAATAACGATGCAATATGTAAGAAATAAAACTGCATGCATAATAATTCTTTCTGATAAAGTAAGAGTCTGTGGCAATCGATTAAGCGGAAAGATTCACTTGTCATTTTTAAGGCTACCGTAAATTATGTGGGTGTTGTAATCCAAAATAGAAAAAGCACGAATGCTCAAAAATCTACATGCAAACATGCATGAATTGAAAGGCATAGCGGCATTACACAAGTGATTATAAAATGACATAAGATGATGCATCATTCACACCATTACTGCTACCACCACTCATCTATGAAAATTAAAACAATTTCAAGCACTTATCTTGACAGTTAACTCCTTTAAATTCAAACGGTGAAGGCTACTGCACAATAGATTCTTAATAACCAATGATAAAATTCCCCTTCGGTATTATACTAACTGTACTAATCATAAAGAAATTCATTTTGATTTAGTGAATTTAAATCAGTTTGCTCCATTATAAATATAGAGCATAATCAGCCTAAAAAAATCAAAGGTTACTTCAATTAATTCAATAAAACTTGTAGCGGATTAAATGGGAAGTTTTAACCAAGAATTACAACAACACTGTGCATGATCTGCCTTACATGTTAATGAAACAGCATTCATCTCCAATTTCAAAAAAACTTCTTTTTGCAATTATGCGCAAATTGTTGTTTGTACTAGAAACTATAATCTAATAAAGTTTGTTTTGAAGAACTCCAATGCAATGATCTGGTGTCAACAACAAAAAAGTTTTGTTACTTAATTACTTAATTAATGGTTGGAATAACAGTCACAACAATTGAGCTAATTCTAATTAGTTGAGAAATAAATCAATGAAAGTTGAAATCAATGCAGGCAGCTTATATGCAAACAATAAATAATTAAGGAAAGACTTAGGATATGTACAAAAATGTTATCAGTGAGCGATTGTAAAACAATCTCTACAATGTGAAAGGAAAAGAAACTAGTAAAATTTATTATAATCATAATCTTAGTAATGACAAAGAATTGCTGAGCTAAGCACAGTTGGGTCAACTCATTAAATGGGTAGGCAAACAATTTTCCAATGTTTTCTAAATTTGAATAAACAAAGATGGAATATCTAGAAGAATCTGATCAAACAACATCAAGCACCTTGCAATCTTACTGAAAAATGTCGATTCCCTTATTTCAAATTGGTAGATTATGCAAAAATAACACTATTTAAAGAAGTAAAATGATAGACAAGTTGGCCACCAGTACGATACTATGCAAACAATTTCTAGGATCACGTCAAAATATATTAATTCTTTTCATAAAATACCTTAACAAGCGCTCAAGAAGCTTTCAGTAAATTTTATATAAGCAGATATCGAAATTTTGTTCACAAATTACAACATCACGTAAAAGAAGTAAAAAATGTCGAGCACTATAGCAAGAGCAATCCCCTTAACTCCACAAAAAATCATTAACCAACACATTAAATAATCCCAACAAAAGCATAACGATAGAACATACCTTTAAATGTACGACGTAGAGTACCGATTGTAAAACCACAACCTCTTGATTACAGAAAATCCTGGAAATAAAGCAGGAAATATAAAAAACAAAAGGTTACACAACACAAGTATCAGTGATTACAGATCCAAGAAAATTTTACTTTAATATAATATAGAAACAACCAAAAAAGCTAATACAGTGAGTATTACAAAATAACTGCAACGAGAAGAGTTGAATTAAAATACGCTTGGAAATCAGTCGCTACGAATTACAATCTACCGATACTGAATGTATTGTAAAAATTGGACAGAATAAGAAAGATGGTCACTTTCCGTATGTCATAAGGGGAAAAGGTAGTATTACAAACTCATGTACTAAAGCAGTACAAAATATTAACAGTATAACGATCGACATATTAGCAACATAACGATCGATTCTGGCAGTAAATTCTGCCTATATCAATATTATGTCAAAGACATCCATTATTGTGAAGGTCATTGAATTGGTCAAATCATCAAACTGCCTAGAATTAACTAATTGGGATTGGGAAAATTACGAATGGGTAACCATAAATGTTTAACTGTGAAAAAAAGAAGTGTTGGAACAAATGGAATAGAAAGAGGATTATCTAATTAATTGAAATCTCGAATTTGACTGCTTGAGTTGAGACATCTACGGCATGATAATCGTTGTACGACTACAGGTGATAACACAAGGAAACTTCAACTTACCATCAGGATGGAAAGAACTTGACGTTGCAATTCGATCTTTCATATAAAAACATATGAGCTACAAGGTGTTAGCGTCATGTTTAGCTCACACCTGCAATGCATAAAAAAAGAGAAAAGTTATTTGATGAATTTGAAATTATCTGTTTGTCCTCATCCACGTTTGCTGTAGTTACATTCTCTGTACTCTTGGTTCATTGGGCGTTATTGTCTTTCAATCTAACTCAAATGACTAACAAGCTAACTTCGATTTTTCTTCAGATCGAGCTTAATGAAAATATCTCTGCACACTGTTAATTGCTCTACGAATTGCATTGCTAAAGCACACGGTGACAATTTACTATACCCACAGTTCTCTCCATTCCTCCTTATTATACGCTTCTTATCGATGATATGTTGATAAAATATTGAAGTCATGAAGGGGAACCTGTAACTAATTGTACGTATATACATCATCGTTTTTTATCGATTAAAAAAGTTATCGATTAAAAAAGCTAAGGTACAAAACACATGTGAACGTGTATGATGCATGTAAATAACTCTTTGAGCACATTCGTCTATGCAACTAACGCATACACAAAACGTCGAGAAACCACGAACGTAATCAATTAATATAAGAGAACAAGAAAGAACAGCCAAAGTTCACATTTGATAACCATTACGACGCTTAAGCTTATCTAACTACCACAAATGTTTCCCATGATAGTAATTACGGAGACATGACGTAGACGTAGACATGAATTAATAACTACGTAACCTAAGGGTAAGCAATAGCGTTAAAATGACCGAAGAGAGGAAAGAAAATGAAAAGAATGGACACCATGCAGCTTCATGCTTGCAAAAAAAAGGGGCAGAGTTGAGCTAGTGCATGAGGAAGAGAGCAGCAGGGAAGCCATACACCCGTTGCTATACACATGTGTGAGTGTGTGTCAGAGATGGAAAAAAGCCAAAATAGTTGGGTAGCAGCCAGTAATTTTAAGAATCTTTGAGAACCAGAACAGCTTAATTGTCGTCAAGACTTTTCTCGAAGTTCATTCGTTTGCAGTAACCTCATCGAGATAATAAAGGACTGGAAAAGTTTGTGGACATGGGTTACTTTAGAGAAAGTAAGTTCCATTCCAGTTACAGTGCATCACCTATGCAAGATTTAATTATCCATTCAGTGCTACAATGGAATTTCGTGAGCTTATCAATAAGAGCAACCGGATGGTATCTTTGCTCACTGCTTTCAACACCATTTCCAATTCAACAGTTTAAGTTACCTTCATCGCAAATCCACCACTCTTAAAAAAAGCGGAACCATAAATAAAATGAAATGAAATTGGAACGAATTATTTCTGATTTAAAAGGATATATTAAATGAACTTAATGATGAATGATTCTGAAGCATTCCGAGAGGTTTCTTTGTCTACCCAAAGGAAAATGGTTTTGTTATCAACCTTGAAATACACATATAATATGTCACATCATACTATCTCATGGAATTAAGTTTATCATGTTATATCATATCATTCGCGTTCATGACTGGAACGAATTCACTATCAGTATTGGAAAGATGTAGATAGCTTGTTTAATGGTACATTGTTTTTACTGTACCATTAGCTGGTATGAATAAACGAAAAAGAGCTATAAACTTGGTAATCGCCCTTCTACAACATCAGTAACACTTCGTTGATCTTCGTGAAAGTATAACCTTTTTTCGATGATCGCCTCTTTGTTGATTGTGTTATCAGAAAAGAGCTTTATCACAATTATGACATTATAGTTTGCTGAAATGTTAAACAAAATTATCATTCTTGATGAAAGTCATACGATAAATTCCAGTTCATCGCGATGATTAAGAATAAAAATTAAAGAAGATTCCTTGAAATCTATGTACTTTTATCAGATCATCACTTCCAGATTTCCACTCTTATATCATAATTTATAAGTTACAGAGAGAAAATTTGAGGATTTTT